CGTCAATTTCTGTTTTGTTTTTTGACAGAGTTTCTCTAGTTTTGCAGGCTCTACTGGAACTTGCTCAGTAGACCAGGCTGGCCTTGAACTCACAGAGATCCGCCAGCCTCTGCCTCCCAAGTGCTGGGTTTACAGGAGTGAGCCACCACCACCCAGTGAGACTTCCATTTCTGAAGAGGGAATTCTTGAAGACGCCCACACACACACTAGTAGCTGGAACATTTCAAGAGTTCATCTGATACGAGATGGACGACCAGGTATGGTGGCACACACCTGGAACCTCAAGATTACAAAGGTCAATGTTCAAAGTCATCCTATGTGGTGGGTCTGAAGTTAGACTGCGATATATGAGAACCTTTCTAAAACAAACAAACAAACAAACAAGCAAACAGAAACAGAAAAAACTCACACATACTAAAGAAATAGGATACCAGAGAGTGCTGAGGGTCGAGGCTAATCCCAAATTTATTTTAACCTTCCCTGAAAGGGAATTAGCAGGTACTTTGGACTAAAAAAAAAAAAAGAAAGAAAGAAAGAAAGATGGGTATTCCTATAATCTCAACACTTGAGAGGTAGTAAGAGAATGATTAAAGAGTTCAAGGCAAGCCTCTGTTACATAGTAACTTTTGATGCAAGCCAAGACTTTGAGACTTTGTCTCAACAAGCAAACAAACAACAATAAAAAGAAAGAAAGGAAGAGAGGAAGGGAGGGAAAAGCTACCACATCATCGGTTAAGCAAGGAACATCAAAATTAAACAACAAAAGTATTTAACGACAATTAAAGAAGTAGAGGCTGTGAATTTGAAAGAGAGCAGAGGGTTATACCGGAAGGGTTGGAGGAAGGAAAGAGAAAATGATATAACTATACTTTAATTTAAAAATACTTGAAAATATTGTCTAGAAGCTTATTCTTCACAAAATCAGCCAGCAACAGCCCTGGTTATGATTATGAAGTTGCCTACATTCTCTAACTGAAGCATGCTACTTTCCTTCCAAGTGTGTGTGTGTGTGTGTGTGTGTGTGTGTGTGTGTGTGTGTGTGTGTGTTGCAAATACAAGTTTGTGTTAGAGACAGAGTCTCATGTAGACCAGGCTAGTCATAATCTTGCTATATAGTCAAGATAACCAACTACCTCCCACCTCCATATCAAAGTGCTGGAATTACAGATGTATACCATAAACCTAACTATGAAGTTCATTTCAGCACCTAAGGATGATGTAAGTTTTATTTTATTTATTTCTTTTTTGGGTCTAATCACACAGTAGATCCTTATGCTAACTGGTTAGTAGCACACACTCATTTAGTTCACGACTGAGTTCAAGTTAAGGACCCTTGCTTAAATAAAGTGAGACATAAGGTGCGATCATTAGTTTTGTCAATCAGATTCAACCTAGAACTACTGGGGAGTCTCAATGAGGGATTGTCTAGAATAAATTAGCCAGTGGGCATGTCTTATGGGATTGCTTTGGCTTTGTTAATTGAGATGGGAAGACCCATCCTCTGTGGGTAGCACTACACCCTGGGTTTGGGGCCTCATTGTAAAAAAGTAGAGAAATGGAGCTGAGCACTGGCATAAATGTGTTCCCCCATTGCTCTCTATGGCTGTAACGTATGGTTGCTTTAAGTTCCTGCTACCCTGACACCTCCCACTCTCCTATGATGGACTGTAACTTGGAGTGAACTAAATAAAGCTCTTCTCCCTTAAGGTGCTTTTGTTAGGATATTTTGTCAGAGCAGCAGGAAAGACAATGAAGACAGATGGCATTTCTGGTTTCCAGGTACAGGGTCAGTGAATGATAAGAGGTACCCCAGAACCTAAGGTTGAGAAAAAGCTCACAAATGTGGGCAGCCTTTCTCCTTTCTTTCTTTTCCTTCCTTTCTTTTTTTCCCTGGGTATCATTTCCTTTTATTAAGATGTTAATTACTGCCAGTGGTAATGTGGTAATGGCCCATGCCTTAATTTTTTTTTTTAGATTTATTAATTTATTTTTTACCTTCCAATTCCAGTTCCCTGTCTCTCCTCTCTCCTGCTTTCCCCACTTTCCCCCCACCCCAGGGCAGCCTTTTCCTTCACCTTTCTGTGGTGGGAAAGAAATAGCAAATGGAGCACTGTCTTCATACCCCATTCCATGATTCCCTATAGTGCGTTCCTGGGAATTTGGTGGTGGGAAGGTATGTTTCTTAGCTGAGGCAGGGATTATGGAAAGCAACACTCTGACTTTCCATGGCATGCACTGGACATCTGCTGTTCCCAGCAGCAAGCCCAGCTTTTATTATGAAGAGGCTGCCTGTAGGAATGTAGATCCGTCTGACTGAAGCCCCAATTCAACCACCTAAGGACAGAGTTTCTACACTTGTATATTCACAACCTTCAGTACAGAACTAGTGGGTATCTATCTTTAGGGCCTGCTAAGGCTTGAGATATAAAAACCAATGAATATGCATGTTTCCAGGTAAAGACTCTATGCTGCACTCAAAACTAACTACAATAGTGAAAATGGCCCTAATTAAATGTACACTTTAGGAAATTCTGATTTTTTTTTCCTCTGAGAGACAGGATCTCATTATATAGCACTGGCTGGTCTGGAACTTGCTAAATAAGTAAACCAGGCTGGCTTCAAACTCAGAGATTCACCTGCCTCTTGCTTCCCTAGTGCTGGCATTAAAGTTGTGTGCCACCAGAGTTGGCCCAATTATGATTTTTTAATTCATATAAACATCCTACATTTGTTGTGGAAAAATAATGATTTGTATATAATTAGAAAAAGTTTAAATGTTAGAATTCAAATAATCAGAGAGGCATTTGCTACTCTAATTCTCTAAGATTATCTACTTCAGTTTGCCCATAGCTCCTTCTTGATAGCAGGCCGTTTTAAAATTGAAACCACACTAAGAATTAAGCAGCAAAAATTAGATGTCACTTAAGATACAATATATATATACATATATATATATATACTGAATCCTAACTATGTTTCTGAGTTTACAAACAGAACTACAGTATCACCAAATCTATGTACTAATATATACCCAATGTGACCACTGATTGCAATCTAAACTATGTTTATTAAATTTTTGCAAGATTCAGTTTATTGCCAGGAAAGAACACAGGAATTATGCACAGTTACTGGAGTCCAACACAGAAGCTGCCCACCATATTCAATTCCTATTTTATTTATTTGTACTGATTTTCCCTAGATTAACTCTATCCTCTCTATCCCTACCTTCCAGTTGTTACCCTGTTGTGTGCAACTTTATTTCTTATAGGGTAAAACAGAACTCAATGCTGCAACTGTTAACCTGCAGAGAAGAATTGGAAAAGTCAATGAAAGAGGTCATTTAAAAAGACACAAATAAAAAAAGACTTGCTTTCTTAACTTTAAGCCTAACTACTTACTGATGGGATGGCTTGGCAGACAGAAGATTTCGCCCTTCTCTGAGGCAAGTTACTAAAACCCCTGTTTTCCCTTCTAAAACATAGATCCAGTATGCAAAAGACAGCATTTGTTAAAGAACAAAACCAAATCGGATTTGACTTTTCCATTGGAACATTCAGCATATAAACAATCCATATCCATTAATTAGCCTTCACTTTTCAGATAGGCTACTTTCTCAGACGAGTGGCAGGACACCAAAATGGGAAGGAGAAGTCAATGCCATAGAATATAAATAGCTGTGGCCAGAAACAATATATATAGCAAAAGAGCCAATAGGAGAAGGCTCCCAAATTGCAGCGTAAGTGACTTAATTCAATGTCTCCCTTCACGAGGGCCCTGGGAAAACCACCAACAGCAAACCAAAGATGAAAACAACGAGAATGGATACAAGGTTTCTAATTTTATGTCGAAAAGACAGCCTTCCTGTATGTTCTTGGGGGTTTGAGAATATTTTTAAGCCTCAGCTGGAGCTTAATATTCACGAAAAATAAATCTTTTAAAATGGGAGTCAACTGTAAATACACCCGAGTAGACATAAAGACAGGGGCTGACTTTCAAAAATTATATTTTAGATTTAGTGTTCCTACAGTTAACCCAAAGGATCAAATAATTTCACACGACTTTGGTTAAAACATTAGAGTTAGTATGTTTCAATTGCATGGAGCACACACTTCACTTTTTAGGTGACTGCTGGACATTTCCTCACTGTTGTCAAGCACTGAAAGTCATTAAGTTTACAAGATTCCGTGGGAGAGCACGCGCGCGCGCGCGCACGTCCTCTAAGCATCAGCACCATAAACGCAAATGCAGGCATCAGAAAGTTACATAAGAAAAGCGGTCTGTCCTCTGAGAAATCAGTTCAAGCATACAATAATCTAGTAAACCGAATATGCTGCGTGCCGGGCTGGGTCACAGGAACCAGGTAAAGAAGCAATGCAAACTACACTGGGAAATGAGGGCACTTAAGAGCTGAATGATGCAGACAACGCCACCAGAGGCATCTCGTGGCATTCCTTCGGAAGAAGCAAGAATGGGTTGTCTTTAACGAGCCCCTGATGACCTGGCTAACGGCACAGCCTAAAACCACCACATCCTGAGCCAAATCTCACCATGTGGGAGAGGAGTGGAGTGACCCATTCACTAAAGCTACCCGGGCAGTCACCGGCCTGGGACTAGAGCACTCCCTGGCACTGCCACCTGCTTTCGACTTCCTCGGGAAGAGGTGGTGGCGCGCGGGACCCAGCCCATAGGCTCCAAAGGCAGAACTAATGATGGATCTGTGATTCCTAAACCCGGAGCTCAAGTCTAGGTTCCCCAGGGTCGGTTCCGGGACGGCGCGCGGCCCCACGGTGGAAGGCTGAGAAGTTTCCCACGGCGGAGCCCGGGCAAGGAGACCTATGGGGAGGGGGCGGCGCCAGGTCCGAGCGCAGGAAGCCCCGACCCGTGGGCCCGGGCCGTGGGAGGGCAAGCTGGGGGCGGTGCCGCGCGGAGCCACACTGGGGCCCGGCTCGGGGACCCCCCCTCACGGGGCGCGGGCAGAGAGGGGGCACCCTGGCCGCTACCTGCTGTTGGATCTTCCCGTCCTCCGTGACGACCCAGTGCGTGGTGGCCAAGGCCCCTCGGGCCACCACGCTCAGCAAAGCGGAAAGGCTGAGAAGCCAACCTGGGCCGGAGCAAGGCGACAGCTCGAACCGGCCGCGGACCCCTATTGCCGCCGCCATCTTGCCCCCCCAGCCGGGCCGCTCACACCGGAAGCGGAAGTTACTCCTCGCCATCCGCCATCTTGGGGAGGTCGTCTCTGGAGCAGGAGGAGGAGGAGTCCGCGGAGTGCCGCCGGGGCTCACTTCCAGACCTTTCAGCGTCGCTTGGGGCAACCGGTCCTGCCGCACGCCAGGGCTGGAAACTGCATTTTAGTTAGCGTTCTCCTGTAGGCTATATGGTCTCCAAGTGTGGGAATCGGAGGGGGGGATAATAATAATAGACTAAATGGAGCTTGAGCAGAAGTGAGAAGACTGGGTGGTGGTTCTTTTTAAAAAGTAAGTATTGTTTCTGGTAGTGCAAGAAAAGATAATGCTTTCGAACTACCTAAGACAAGCGTTTTTACAAGGTTCGTAATGGAGTGTCAAGCGGCGCAGTCCTGCTGCAATGCGTGTCACACACGGAATTAAAAAAAATAGCTCTAGATAACTTATCAAATACAAAATAGTAGTTCAAGGCAAGATCTGCATATATGATCGGTATAGATACTTTGTTTCTTCCTAAATTTGGAAAGTGGTATCTACTTACAGATGAATTACATCTGGTGTAGCCAGACTTCTGGGCCTTAGCAGCAGCTTGTGTCTAGAGGACTTTGGTGGGCAGATCCAGTCTAATCTAAAGGCTTAGGTGTAGAGCCCATATATTGGCATCTCCTGAATCTTTTTAAATATGCACGTTTTCAGCACTTGTGTCCCCTCCCCCCACTCCTTGCTGAGTCTATTTTAAGTCAAGTCTCAGGTAATTGACTTGCATATTAAAGTTAGAGGCTCACTACCAACAGATAAATGAGCAATTAACAAGCTTAGGTTCCAGCTTCTACCTGTGTATATTCTAACAGATACTTCAGAACTGCCTGCTAGTATGTTGTATCGTTTTGTGCTCACGTTTGTTATGCTTTTTTTGTTGGGAAAAGTGTGAGAATAGTGCCCTGCCACCTCCCTACATAGGTGTGGCAGGAAAACAAACATCGCCTCATGCTACGGGAACAGACCAGGACATTAATTCTTCTCACAGTTAAAAAAATTTTTTTCCCCATATGCAGCCAAAGTTGCCTGAAACGTATTATTTAGACCAGGCTGGCCTTGAAGTCCCGTTAGGCATGAACCATCAGGCTCAGCCTACAGGCAACTTTTAAGTACTGATGATAACATTCATTTTACTAAAAAGGTACAACTTGGTGCTGGAGAGATGACTCAGAGCTGAAGAGCACTTCTTTTTTTTTTTTTTTTCTTTTGTTTTTGTTTTTCGAGACAGGGTTTCTCTGTGGCTTTGGAGGCTGTCCTGGAACTAGCTCTTGTAGACCAGGCTGGCCTCGAACTCACAGAGATCCGCCTGCCTCTGCCTCTGCCTCCCAAGTGCTGGGATTAAAGGTGTGCGGCACCAACGCCCGGCCTGAAGAGCACTTCTTACTCTTCCAGGGAACCAATACTGGGCTCACACCTGTAACTCTGGCTCCAGGGGATCCAACTGTGGCATACATTCTCATACACAAACACACATACACCACACATACTTATCTGCCTTTTGAGTGGTGGTGGAAACTGGGCATGGAAATATGAACACTGAGAGTAAGCCAGGATGTTGGCAAGTATATAGACAATGGGAGTGTAATGTGCATTTGCAGACAGCCAGGTGGAAAAAGGCTTGACACAAAGGTCCATGGTTCAAGTAAAGTGTGGCAAAGGTGATGCTGATGTCAAGTTGTTAGGGACTTGTGTGTCTATTGAGTTTAAATATAAACAATAAGGAGTGTAACTGAATTTTAAAGTAGTGACAAATGATTTTTTCTCAGCATCTTATATTTAGGTGTAGTACCTACTCTGTATAAAATAAAATGGCATCATCTTTTTTTTTTTTTTTTTTTTTGCAACGCTAGTGACTGAACCCAGGGCCCTGCATATGCTAGCCAAACACACTACTAATGAGCTATGTTATTTCTACCCTGTCATTTAATAACTTGTGTATAATACAACTACCTGGCCCTAGAACTCCAGAATGAGTAGTTGAGTAGACTCCCTAATATCTATTTTAAGTATTAGCGATATCTGGCATTTAGCCTTTGTAAAGGAGACAAAAATCAGCTTCTATGAACTCAATGGATCATCCACATTTTTTTTTGTAGATCATATCCCTTGTTTTTGAGACAAGATTTGTCTGAAACCTTGAAAGCCCTCCATGGTTTTCTGTTGTATAACTAAATCTTCACAAACTTAGCAGCTTAACCCATGATTTCAGTTTCTATGGAATGAAGAGTATGGTTTGGCATGGCTGGTTTTCTACTCAGTCTCATACAACTGGTATCAAGGCTATACTCTGAAGCTTGCTGGCAGGGTTGGGTAGGGTATCCTCTTCAAGCTCATTCAAGTGTTTGCAGCTTTTAAATTCTTTGCTGTTGTAGGACTGAGGTCTGTCGTGCTGGATGCTGCAAGGCATTAATGCAAAACACCCCACTATATCTTGCCATGTAGCTTTCAACATGGCCATTATTTTTAAGGCCAGCAAGAGAATGCCTCCATTGTTTGAAACTTAATTTCTAGGCTAGATTTAATGAATTTGTATAAGATTTTCCAAGTGAATTATCTTCCTCTTAATTAACCCCAAATTAGCTCATTTGTAATTATGACATTTGCAAAAATATCTTTGGCCAAATAACAGAATTTCAGGAGGAGTTGAATATAGCTACATGTCTTCCATAGCCCAGGTGGATCTTTTTAAATCTTAGTCGTATTGAAGTATACTTGAAAATATATTCAGTGTACAAGAATGTCTACATATGCAATACCATTCCTGCTTTAGGTAGCCCTAATGTAGAGAAGTGTTCTCTTCCCAGCCTAAAGATACAGTTCAAATCCTAGTTTGTAAAATTCTTGCCACCACTGAATTTTATAGCACTAATGATATACCATACTACTTTCTACACTTTGAGCACTGAAACTCTTTGGTAATTTCTGCAAAGGTTCTTAGGTCTAGTCTAGTGAGGCACAATACACAGTAAAACTAGGGAAAAAAATACAATACAGGTAGGCAGTAAAGATAAATAGGGTCAATAAATTACCTCCAAGGTCAGGGAAGCTGCCCAGGGCAGATGGGAATGTCCTGTGTTATACCACATATGAAAGATTCCAAAGTACTCTGGGCTTGTATTCTAGGTGTAACATGTAGAACACACTACTCTAGAGAGAATAAGGATATAACCCTTGTGGAGGTCTGTGTCCCTGATTAGATCAATTCATTCTTGGTATGTTCTGGGAAGTACAAGCAGGATTGGGAAAGCTGGGTTGACTAAGGCCATCTAAGGGATCTGTCCTAAAATTCTTTGCTCATTTAACCTAGACTATTAGCAGCTAAAAACAGGAGGAATTTCTTATGTTAATATATATTTTTTTAATCTTCTTGAGTATCTTGGCTAGGTTTTTCAATTCCTCACCAAAGTAGCCTTCCCATTTGAAGTGACTAAAACAATTTTATTGCAAAGCCCAACCTAAATGTGCTATTTCTTCACTTTAACAAATCACACAACTCAAGCACTTTATTAAAAGGAAGACTTATTCTGGTTCCCAGTTGTAGGGGTTTCAGCGCCTGCTAGGTGGCACCACAGTGCAGAGCATGTGACAGTGGAGGCTGAGAAGCAATCAGAAGACATCAATAGGCTAGGAACAAAACAAACCTGAAATTTTTTTTCACCTTTCAATTTCATTCAGTTGCAGATTCATCAGTTGACTAAGCCATCTATTAGGTTGGTATCTTCATGATTCAATCACTTCCCTGAAGCCCACCTCTGAAGCCTGCAGTGGAGACCAAGCTTTCAACACAAGAGCCTTTGGGGAACTTTTCATATACAAACCATGGCTCTAAAAAATTATTGCTTCAGAGTTCCTGTCCAGGTAGTCAGGTCACTTCTTAAAAAATCCATTCTTCCATTCTACATGCACATCTTCGACAAATATAAAGTGCTAATTGTCAGTATCTCACACTGAGTCAATTCTTAGGTCAATATGGAACAGAAAATGTATCTACTTGACCTTTCAATATAAAGTAATTTTTAAAATCTTATTTTTTAAAAACTGTATTCATGCATCTCTGCATGTGGGTATATGCACATGAATGTAGATGCTTGCTGGAAAGGTGTGTGTCTAGTCCCTTAGAACTAGAGTTACAGGCATAACTGCCTAATGTGGATATTGGGAACTAACCTGGGGTTCTCTGCAGGAACAGTATGTACTTTAAACCATCTTGAAGTCAGAAGGGATTTCATGATTTTGTAGAATTTGATGTTTTTTTTTATAAATTTATTTTTATTACATTTAGTGTTTGTGTGTAAGCCATAGGACAACTTTGATGAGTTGGTGCTCTCTACCTACCATATGGATGTAGGAGATTAAACTTAGGTTTTTCAGGCTTGGAAGGAAGCTCCTTTATCAGCTGAGCTATTTTGCTGGCACTGCTTTTTATTTTATAGGATTGATCTCTTTGGCTCAGGCTTGGCTCAAGCTTGTGATCCTCCTGCTTTAGCTTCCTGTTTGCTGGGATTACAGGTGTGTGTCACCAAACCTGGCTGATATATTTTTCCATCTTCAAACACTGGAAGTCTCACTATGCAGCCTACACATGTGATCCTTGTGCCTTAGTTCCTTGATGGATGACAGGCAAGGGACACCATGCTTCAGCTCTACTGACACTGTTTTGACAAAAAGAACCAAATCTTTTTCAGGAGATTGTATTTACTTATAAAAATACAACCAAAACAGATGGCTTGCAAGACTGACCTTGATGACAGAGCACTTTTTGTCACCTTTATATTTACTATCTAACAGTTTGTCATGAGAAGTTAATAATATCCAAGAATGAAGAATCTTAAGTTATAATTATAACACATTAAGACACGAAACAAAATTACAAAAGGAAATTTATTTCAAAAGCATAAGGGAACATTTACATTTAAACAAGGGGATAAACAGGTGTCTTGCAGAAGAAAAAAACATATTTATGGCATGAAGATTTTCATTCAAATCTCTGAAGCAAAAAGAACACTAAGTTATGCACTATTGCCTAGGCAAGGGAAGGGGAGCAAAGAGATGAGGGATGAATGCAGTGAGCTCTGCATTAGACATGAGGTCAAGTTATTTCTGCTGAGTTTACAAATACACTCAGACAACTGAAAGGAAAAATTACACTATGTTCAAATTTATATTGCTGTAGTCCAATTCATTTTTGTTCTTGAGATGGCTTTAGGCCATGGCTGATCTATCTGATGTCCATACTAGATGGCCACAGTTCTCAACTGGCAATCCCATGTTCCTATGTCTGTTCAGATTCCAAGGAAGCCTAGGTTCAGCTCAGTCTTGTGGAATGTTCAGAGATTATTGCCAGCACTCCATAGTTAAGTTGACCAACTTCTTGTGCTCACTTGTATCATTCTAGGCTTCTAGAAATATTTTCTACATAAATATATGCAGTAATTCTCATAATGGGGTTTTGCTTTTTTTCTCAGTGTAGAAGTAATGATGATGATGAAGACACCTGTGCAGGAATTGAAACCTCAAAAAACAACAACAAAAAAACCAAAATAAAACAAAAAAAAAAATAAACTTACTAGAAGTGACTTCTGAATATTTGATTTGAATAGCAAACTTGGGGAAGGAAGATTAACTATGGAACAAAAATGTATGACATTCAAATGAAGAACAAAGGGTTTGGGCTACTAAAAATGCCCATGACGAGATACTCCACAAACCTCCCATCTGTTGTTTTAATCTAAAGACTACTGGCTAACTTATACAATAATCTGATTAATAACCTGAGAAGTTAAATTTTCAAAGTGGCAAAAGCAAACTCAGTGAGCATCTCTTATTTAATGGTACTATGTCATCAAGTCATTTTCCTGGGTAGCCCTGGTTATTAAGTCTCCAAATCCTAAATTAACTATCACATCCTGTGGGAACCTGTATGTACACCAGATCTGGCTGTATTTCACCAACAAGGGTCTTCAAATTTGTCTCTGAAAAAACAGCCTTTGTTTTTAGTTTTAAACAATAATAATCACGTTAAGTCTGACAGACTCAAATCCTCCCTACTGGAGTAAAAACCTAGACACCAAGTCAGTGAGGGTTTTAGCCTCAAAAGGATAATCACTGTGTCAGATGACCCATTCCTAGAATTTAAATTATTGATTTGTTGTACACTCAAGTTCCATAACATGCATATACACACACACAACATATGCTTATGTTTGTATGTATATTATGCACATGTACTCCTATTCAAACAATAAGACCCTGTGTTCAAAAGGGGTATTCTAAAAATGGAGAAGAGTGAAGGCAGTAATGCAAAGCAACTTACGGCCTCCTAAAAACTTAATGTCATTTGTAATCGTAAGAAGCTGGTGTTTAACTTTTATGAGTCTTAGTAGGAATGCTACAACACTGCCTAGTAGCTTCATTAGAAATCCAGGAAAGAAAGCAAAACGTTAAGAATGATCTTTACTCTTCTCCATGTACTGGTCAAAAACTTTTAACAGAATGGGGGAGAAAAATAAGTAACCTTTCAAAAGTGATGAACTTTACCAGATCACGAGCTAGACTGAATTTTCCATTAGACTCAGTTCTCAATAACAAATTATGAAGATGTTTAAAAGCAAGATTCACAAGATGAAGTCTGATAATGAGGATATTGCGAAAACAAGTCAAGGCTGCAGACAAAGCATCCAAAAATATTGTTGTGGTTTTACCTTGGACACAACCATGGTCTGTTACAAAAGTAGATCATACATACAAAGGTAGAAAGAACATTACGGTTTTCAGCTGAAGGCAGCAGTCCTTTTAAAGGGACATCCCCGGCAATCCAATGAGTAGTAGATTTAAACTCATGACAATGCTGAAGAATGTGATGTCGCACTCTAGTAGAGTCTTCCTCGACTACGATTTCCTCGTGTTCCCCAACCTCGGCCTCCTCTACTTCCCCTGAAGGCTCCTCTCTGCTCTACGAAAAAACGAACAATGGTTTAGGTCTTGCTCAGGACTTCATGGTTCAGCAAACAGAAATATAGCTTGTAGGTCTGAAAATAGCAGAAAATAAAAGCTGAAGTGGTATTCTGTCACTGTCTTCAAATTCATTCTGTCCATCAAACTGGGGCACCATTTACAGAGGCAGAGAGGTAAATAATAAAGTGCCACATATTTCATAATAGTTTGATTAAATGCTTCTCATTAATTAGCAAAGTTGTTTGAAAACAATGTTAGGATAACCATACTTCTAGGTTTTTATTTTGGTGCCTATCACTATCAAAGCATAAAACTATAAAAAAATAAAGAACAATGTAACAAAAACATCTCTAGTCTTTATATATGAGAAGTATCTCAAACACCAACTGTTTTGAACAACAAGGCTGCCCTTTTGTATGTGACACACAGGCAGTGTCTTTTGTTGTGGTATCACCATCTAGAGCACTGGCACTCATAAGTGTAGGTTCACTGCAGAGCCTTTTCCTTCTTTCATGGGCTGTATGAGCTCCCCAGAACTGTCACCAAGCTGTGTGTTACAGTGAGGCTGGACTGTTCATCGTGGGCAAATGAAACCAATCTCTTTGTGAGCTTCACACTTCCTCACTGCAGCAATCTTGTTAGCAGCAATAAAGGCTGGCATTTGTCTTTCTGATCCATAGTCTTGAAAAATACCTTTCAGGTCAACTTTACAATCCATTTTTAAATTTTTGTCATTATTGCTTATTAGATGGTTTTCTGATGAATCTCCCTTTTTTCCCAAGAAAGAGAGAATTCAATTCTGAGACAGAAAATTAACAAGACTTCTCCAGTCTAGTGAACACTTTTCTCTGTAATTTAGTAGTGCCTGACTCAGTCACTTCTTGTGACAGTTTTATTCAAGGATTGGTATGCAAATCACTTTAATGATGCTACCATGTTTAGTGCCCTAGACAACATATTCAAGAGTAATAGTGTTGGGACCGATATACTTCGTTCAAGATTCTTAGTATGCAATCAACAACAAAAAGCATAGTCTCTTAAACTACCCATAAGGATAGGCTTTGAGAAAACCACCTGTGGGTACTGTAACTTGTAGCCAGCTGTCGCTCCTGCACCTCTTGTTTATATTTAAGGTGCATGAGATTTAATTTTCCTTCCTTGCTCCTACTTCCTTCCTCTCAGATATAGGAGACAAGGACTTCCATATTACTGAACTACACATATCAGTCCACAAAAATAATTTTCTATAAATATCAGCACACTTAGCAAACTAGTGCACAGAATTATTAGCTATATACTAATTAACCATTAAAAACTAACCTTTACAGTTTTCCAATTATTTTATTCTGGGGTTTGAAAGATACACAAGACATATTTTCTAGCTTTTCAAAGGGATCCAAACAAAATTTCAATTTTGACACAACAGAGTTCTTTCATTGTTCAGCTAAATATGAGTTGTTAAAGTTGCAAAAGTATGGTGAGCTTTATTCTAAAAGACATTTCAGCATTTTAATCATTATTTCAATGATTTCTTTACTTTTATGTTTTTATTAAAATTTTTTGTGTGTTCTGAGAATCAAAGCCAGGGCTTTGCATAAGGAGGCAAATGCTGTAAGCTTCATTCCTAATTGCTAGAAAAAAAAAAAAAGTTCAATTGTTCCAGATCCTGGAAAAGGCTAATAAAGAAAAAGCATGGCAGTCACAAACTGTAGACTGCCTAGTACTCCTGGCATCCTGGGGAACTCCGTGCATAGGAAGGAAACTAAAATGAGCATCTATCTACAGATAATGTGACTGACTTTGTTCCAGGCAAGTGTGCTCATCTGTGGGACCCAAACACCACACCCAGAGAAGAAAAACTATCATTTGACACTGATCAGTGATATTATAAAGCAAGTCAAGGAAACACTTTAAATTGTCATTGTGAGAACACAAGAACCCAGCCACTCCACAGGCCAATGCACAATACTGGCAGAATTTATCCTTACTTCCTACACCAGTGGGGCTTTATCTGCTTTCCAGGCCACTTTGCCTTTTAGTCACAATGAAGATGGCTGAAGGAGCTCAAACCATGACCCTATTTTTTTGTTAAGTAAAACTGCTTATTGTTTCTCACATTGTAATTTTGAAAGTTAACTGTGTGTGTGTGTGTGTGTGTGTGTGTGTGTGTGTGTTTGAGACAGGGTCTCTCTATTATGTAGCTTTGGCTGTTCTGGAACTCGTTATACAGATCAGGCTGGTCTTGAACTCAGAGATCTGTCTCTTCCACATTTTCAATAAAAACACTTCCACTTTTATTTATTTAAGACTATTTTGTTTTATTTTTTGCAGTTTTTAAAATAAAAAATATAATCACATCCTGGCTTATTGACAAGCTAAAGTGTTACAATTTACAGTTCATTTACATTGGAGTGTTCATTTCTCAGCCTAAAGCTGGCCTTTTCCAATCTGTCTAGTTAACAGAGAAATTCAGGCACCACTAAGAGGAACTTACCTAATGTCATCATTATCTCACTTGGAAATATAAATCTACAGTGTAAAATATGGCTCAGAATATACTTAGAAAGCAACCCTGAAGAATCAACTACAATCAGCAATCAAAATCAACCACATTAATGTTTGATTGCTAGTATTATGATTGCTGCTGATGTCATTATCATTGAGACATGGTCTACAGCGGCCCAGGCTGACCTGACCTCAAACCTGCTATACAAATGAAGACGGCCTTGAACTCCTCCCGTCTCAGCCTCTCTAGAGTTGGGGTTTCCAGTATTAAGCTTATCTTAAACAAGTAAAGGAGTTGGGTGGGTTACTTCTGCCCATTCTGACCCCTCTGAGTACAAAGCCTTGTTATTCAGTCCAGGCTTGCTTTGTGATCCTCCTGCCTCACCCTCCTGAGCACTGGGCATATAGGTATGTGTCATTATGCCCCATGTGTTCATTCTTTTAAATAAGATTTATACGGGGGAAAAGCCAGTAAGAGACAGACTTCATTACTGATTCTAGAGCCTTGAGAGAGAATGGACAGGTGGGAAGTTCTAGCCAAGGAGGAGCGGAAGATTGCATTTTGGGCCAAAGTGCATTTTGGGCCAAAGAAGACAGTATAACATCACATTCTCCCAGCCACACAATGCTCCACCATCTGACTCGATTTCCATGGCCTCTCTTTCAACTAGTCAAAGAAAACCTTAATATTTTCAGCAACAGACTAACAAGTCCCAGAGACCCTCTACACTGCATGTGCCAGAGCTATGTCTTTCTTTTCATGGAAAAGTGTATACAATGGCTCCTGACAACTTCCTGTTCCTGCTGGTTTCTCCAACTATTGCAGGCATATTTTCCTTTTCAAGTGCTTCTGTGTCACATGCTTGGTTCTGTGAACCCACAATAGTTAGAGAAATGGGATATAATTATTTCCCCAATGGCCCCCTTTCCAGGCTAACTCAGAAGAACAACCTAACAGAACTATGATACTATATATATATTCACAATTAAAAGCACGTACCACTTTCTACCTAATCTCTTGGACTGCTTGTACCCAAACGAAAACGCTCACCATAATTAAAGTTGCCCAAATTGCTGCTGTACTTCCCACTAGGAGGATTATAAATCTGTCTGGCATCCCTTTTTGGTCCTCCTGGAGATTTCTTGGGTGGTGAACCTGAACTTGTGTCTTCATTGGCTCTCTTTTGCCTGTAACATTGGGAAAAGCAACAATTAAAAAGCACTGGATTATGCCAAAAGCCACAACACAGTTCTAAATTAGCCTGTGAGCTGTAAAAGATCTGCTAAATAAGATAGTTACATCAGAAAGTATGGATAAAGTTCCATACCATCTCAGTAACTGCTGTGCTATGCAGTTATGTAAGAATCACCAAAGGGCATTTATAAGGCTTTAAATTACTTGAAATATTTGGTTTCAAAGACACATGCAGTCCTCACTGTGCTAAGTTGTCAACAAAGTCTAGTAATGTGGCAGAAAGGCAAACATCCCAAGCCCTCCAGGGCTGTATACAACCACGCTGCTTTGTAAAGCCCTGGGACGAGACTTGTACTTTAAATCTTCTTCTAACCATCATATTTCACTACTTTGAGAATCATTTCACTGTCAATGTACTCAGGATTTGTTTACTCTTGAATCTCTTTAAAATCCATTCTTACCCAATCTCCACTTTCTGCACAGGTTTCCAGGACAATGTTACTGTGCTCTTATACGAAGGAGGAATGTGGAAGAGATCCTGGAGAGACAATAATCAGAATCAGCCAAGATTGCTAATGGACATGCTGCTATCAGGGAGTGGGCGAGGAAGGAGGCAGGAAGATACATCTTAAAGGTTAGGATGAGACATCAAGGCTGATGTCAGGTATCTTCTTGAGTACTTTTTCACTTTAGCTCTGGCCCCCCCAGTTAAGTTTTTGAGACAGGGTCTTTCACTGAACTCGGGGTTCAGTGGTTGGCTAGCTGGTTCCCCGGTCTCTGCCTTCCCAATGCTGGCATTACATGCAATGCACACTGCCTGGCTTTTTACACAGGCACTGATCGAACCCAGGTAATAAATGGTAGCAGATATAAACTATAAAGCTTTCATTGGGAGTTGTAAGTTAGGGTTGGGTGTTGAGGTAGGGTGGTTTCACTTTGTTGACTAGGCCTGTCTCGAACTTGTGGTGATCCTCCTGCCTTTACCTCTTGACTGGTAGAATTACAAAGCACACTACACATTCATTGACTTCTGCTTTGAATGCCATTTCACTTCTTATCCTGGCAACATGACACTCATTCTCCATGTCTAATGATACTATCATTGTCCCTGCAATGCTTTCTTCTTCTTTTAGATAAAAAGCATTTTCATAGTATTTCTACCACATTAGCTGAAAAGCATATTTGTCCTCACTGTCAGGCTTTATGCTCTCGGTGTTACAAACACACTAGTGGATATTTAGGAACAAAGAACAGGAGGGTAATTATAACTTAAAAAGCAAGGTACCACTAGCCTGCAGCACAGAAAACTCTGAATTACACAGATAAGTTTACAAAGAAGGCCACAGGAAAACATTTCAGGTGCTGCACAGCCCTGAAATACAGAGTCTCATTGACTATTCGAAAAGGC